AGGCTCCCCCATCCGCGGCATAAGCTCCAGGAGCTTCAATGTACCTGAATAAAATGAATAGGGTTTAGGGTTTAGGGTTTGAGGGTTCGAGGAATTGGGTTTAGGGTTTAGGGTTTAGGATTCGGGGTTTAGGGCTGTCACAAGGGCTTAGGGGTTTAGGGGTCAGGGGTTTAGGGTTTAGAGCTTTATGGTTTTAGGGTTTAGGGTCTAGGGAAAGACTTTGTAGTTGGGCACTCAAGGCTTCAAAGCAAGGTTGGTTTTGGGCTTCAAGACAGGCTTGAGGTTTGGCATTGAGGGCTTAGGGTTTAGGGGTTTAGGGTCTGGGGTTTAAGGTCGAGGTTTGGCAGTAAAGGGTTTAAGCTCTTTGGTTGGCTGGCGCTTTCCTACACTGAAATGCAGAGGCGGCAGCCCGAACTGCTATTGCAAAGCAGCTGATTGCCACACCCCTGGGTTGGATCTGAGTCCCCAAAAAAACGGCCCTTCAGAGACAGGTGGCCGATCGAATCAGGGACCTACATCGAACCTTAACCCTATATATATATATATAAAACCTTGAAAGTCCAAAACCCTAGATCGCCCAACACATAAGCCTTTGTAGCACCTGATACGGCCCCTGGACACACAGCCCTGCGTCTCTACCAAAGGAAGCCTTAACAAACGGTAACACTAAACTGTTCCCTTAGAATCCCTGGATGCTTATATGGGGGTTTCCGAAAATAGGAGGCCCTAATATAGTACCTTAAATAGTAGGATCCTTATTATAACGACCCCAAAATAAGGTACCCTAATATTCGGAAAGTCCCATATACTGTAAGATTCCTCAAAGCAACGTAAGGCCCCAACATCCCTCCCCCTTCCAATTATTGTCGTCTACTTTCCCATAGGCCCCTAAGTAGTTCCTTTGTATGGTTCATATTTAGAATCCTATAGGGTACTCCCAAAAAGGAACTACATTAGGGGCTTTTAGGGGCCTCTGGGTATGTTTCCCCCCTTCCTACATGCTCATCCCCTTGATTCCGGTCCAGACACGGCCGGCCAGCGCAGTGCCGAGCGACGCCATGTCCTAGGTATTCTAGCACCCAGACAAAGCACCTAACCTAGGGGCCTTAGCAAAATTAGAATAGGGCATCGGGGTGCATTTTTCTAGAACTATACAGAAAAGATACAAGGGGACTACATTACGAAAGATATCCGACCGCGCAGATTTCCAGAAGACCAGCATTTGGGACCGGGACTTACACCTGGCCTTAGCCCATAAACCCACCCATGAACCGACAAGTGAAGCCTGAACAGAGTTGTTGTCAGGAATCCGTTGCGTTGTTTGCCGGTAGAAGGTTGACGCTGGCGCAAAGTTACTTGTTCAAAGCATCGGGAAGGGACCAGGAGAACCCACACACCAACCTCCTAGAACGTACAGGTTCTGTAGAATCTTGTGTTTCTTGAAAATGACCCGTAGTATGTAACGTTTTGCAGGATCTTATGAGGTTGAAAATATCATTCCGAATCTCTGGAGATATTGTAGGGTGACACACTGCTAGTAGCACTTGCCCTGGCAATGGCCGCTTGGTTTGTACATCTGTAGGGTCTTACACTTTAGGTAGTGTAATGCTAGACCTGTAAGAATAATTGAAAGTATAGAGTATAGGTGCTGTAAACATACGGCTAGGTTGCGGTAGGTTCTGAATATAGTGCATAACCAGGAACATTGCTTCGACGTGCGGTGTTGTTTTAAGCCTTCGGTTGCAGGGTGCTGTGTCGACAAGAAAGCTGCGAAGCAAAGAGTAGCACACCCTGCAACCCAACAAACACCAACAACCAAAGCCTAAACCCTAAACCCTAAATCCCCTAAACCATCAACCCGACATCTTGAGGAGAAGAACCCCAATTAACAGCAGCCCTTCACAACACACTCCGCAAAGCTCTGCTTATGGGTTTACAGGATTTCGAGCTCTCTGCCATCGACATACATGCTTCCTTAGCTGCTGAGTTCACAAGCAAATAAAAGTGTGCACTTTCAGTTCTATAAGGGATCATATGATCCAAAAGGCTTGAAGTTTTCACTTTCCGTTCTATAAGGGATTATCCCCAAAAGATTATAAAGTGCACTCATTCAAACAAGGCCCCCGAAAAGGTGACACCTTAAGCCTGACACCGAAACTCGAGACCCTCAAGCTGTCCTTTATGGTTTACGGCTTCCCCTTAGCATCAAAATAGCCCAGAAGCCTTACATAATAGGGTCTTCTTGCCCAAAAGCCTTCAAATATGAGTCCTTTGTGGGTAGGGGTTCGGGTTCATGGCTTAGGGTTTAGGGCTTGGGGTTTAGGGCTTAGGGCCCTCGCAGCTACTCAACAGACGGGAATGACCTCCCTTCCATTATCGGGCTTAACAACCCTTACGGCAATGAGTTGTTGGGTGCCTTTTGTAGATCTGCACCTAAGCCCTAAACCCCAAATCGAAACCCTACACCATCAAATGCATGAACCCCAAAGCCCCTAGACCCCTTAAAGCCGAAACCCATTGAGTCGGTGCCCAAGCTTCCGCCTCGTTCAGAGACCAGTGCTTGATCGAGAGAACTTCGAGGCGCTGGAGTCTCGAAAGTGCTTCGAAGAAGCCAGAGTCCGCAGGGAAGGTCGAGTCTTCCAAGCGGCTCCCGCTGATGTTGAGGACGGAGACCTGTTTCCGGACATCCGGGATCTTCGGAGATTGTGGGTTTAGGGTCGGGCTTAGCTATGGCTAGGGCTAGGGCTATTGGGTTTAGGGTTTAGGGTTTAGGGCTTAGGGTGGAACCGCAGCGCCTTAAAACAGGCTTTTGGAAAGTACAGTCTTGTCCCAGTCAGGCTGTCCACGCAAGCGACTGCTTCTTGGCGCTGGGGATTAGGGTTTGGGCTCACTCAGCTCCTTCATCAGGGTTTAGGGTTTAGGGTTTTCATAACCCGAGACCACAAACCCCCTTCGTAATATTCAGCAGTCGGTCCCGCAGGCGCAAGTGTCGTTTCAAGAGGCGCCCCACATCCATCAAGAAGGAACATGTTTTCAACATCGTGTAGATTCCTGATTCATAAGCCCCTCGATTTGACGGGATTCTGGTTAGCATCCTAATACCAGCGCCCGTACAGCCGCAACGAAAGGGGACGCACCAATCGTGCGACTACATTACTAAACCCCACAGCCCTAATCTCCGAATCTCCTACAACCCAAACCCTAAACCCTAAACCCTAAACCCCAAACCCTAAGCCCCCAAAGCCTTAAATCAACTGCTTTGTGATCCCAGCCTGGGCTCCTAGAAGAGTTGGCTGGATGTCGATTTCAAAAGACATAATGAGCCCGACTTCAAGACAGTTTAGGGCTTAGAGGCTTCTAGCATCAGTTCCGCAGCGCAGGCATCTGCGCTTGTCAAAAAATCTGATAAAGTTAAAACCTGAGCTGAAAACTGCGAAGTATTGGCCAAAAGCCTTCAGCACCGTTGTCCAAAAGAGAAACACCCAGCTCCAGCTACATCCAAAAGACCTCCGACCCCTTGAAGCCAAACCCCTATATACCCTAAGCTACCAAAACCTATGTTTCGTTGTAGGGTCCCTGTGAATTCCATATTAGGGCTTATAATTAGGTTATGGTAGTTCTCAAGGTAACCTCGAGACCCACTGGACCTTAAGCCCCCCGTCCTGGTCACACGGATGTCTTTGCAGCACCCAGGAGAGCTCGTCCAGTTCGACACGACTTGGCAAGGACGGTACCAGCTCCTTTTATCGGATCCTTAAGGGAGGGTCCTAGGGATCCTTAGGGAGCTTTGGGGAACCTAAGGGAGCCCTAGGGAGAATTGGGGGGTTATTCGGTTATATACCCCTCTTAGAACCCCCTCCCTTAAGGATGCCATAATCCTTGCACGAGAAGTTCCAGGATGGAAGAAGCTCCTCCATCTTGTCATGGAAACCGGTCCTTACGCAGAGACTCCAAAATCCGCCAGCTACTGAAGATTCCGGAGTCAAATCAAGCGTCCCATTAGACTCTGACATACTGTTGGTGATATAAATCTTGCATTACCTTTCGGATCCTAAACTATGGGAAATATGTTATACCTTCCGTATCATATGTAATGCAGGATTTATATCATCGACCGTATTGCTTGGTTAATGAGGTTCGGAGTCTCTGGGTCTGTGGCCAGACCTGGGAAAGTAGAACCTTCCAAAACCCTGCCCTACTTGGAGGTTCATGGGTAGTTATGAGTAGAGTTAGAAGTCCCCTAATATGGGTTATAAGTACAGTTTTCCTACTTATGACCCTACTTATAACTACCCAGAAACCTCCAAGTATAGGCTCTGAGTTTCGAACGGGAGGGGGGTCGTGTATTACAAGGACCTCAATACCTGCAATGGGGTTTGAGGCGGTCTATGTCTCTAAACATACCAAGGGCACCCCAAGGAATGAGATGGGTTTAGGGTTCCGGGGTTTAGAGGTTAAGGGTTTAGGGCTTAGGGTTTATATAGGGGTTTTGGGGCTTAGGGTTTAGGGTCTTAGAGGTTAGGGTCTAAGGTTTAAGGGTAGCAGCCGGCAGCTCGTGGATACCGTGGAGCCTCAATGCCAGGAGTTCCCGGGAAAGCCACGGGGGTCCCAGGACGTCTCAAGTAAGCTATCTTCACCCAAACTACAGAAACACACTTTCAGGGTATAGGGTTTAGGGTTTTTTGAAACCCCTAACGGACAAAACACTACACAGAGACCTTCAACAAGACCTTCTATGTCAATTTTTGAAACTAGGTTGGCCCGTTTAAAACCCGAATTTCCTCACGACGATCCTCTTCAGCCCAATAACGGAAACATATCACAGATGGGTAGTTCTCCAAATTAGGGTCCCTTTGTAGGTCCCCAATTTTGTACGGCACCCTTAGAAACACGGACCCTAAAATAAGGACCCTAATTTAGAGAACGAAGAGATCTGAAATGCCTACTTAGAAAAATATTGGGCTCCCTGTGTGCAATTCATGGCGAGACAGGCGAGGCGCGTGTTGGACCCATGCTCGAGTGCGGCTGTCACGAGAGCCTGCGGCATGTTTGCTGAGAGATCACCAACCGCCATCAGCCAAGAGAGCGGATCGAAGCCAAACTGACCTGAAGCAGGGGCCCCTGAGCCCTAAACTCTAACTGACCTGAAGCAGGGGGACCATCGATCCCCAAACCATGCACTTTTTGCTACCTGCAGCCCCAAACCCTACAAAAGGATGTCACCCGGTATGGCGTATACCCATGTACACAGTAGGTTATTGGGCCCATGGGGAGCCATCATGCGTCTGGATTCGGATGTTTTTCGGTTTGAGGCCAGTATGAGAGCTTAAAGAGCCCTAAACCCCACAACCAAAGACCTATGCCCTAAATCCCAAACACGAAGCTCGCAACATCTCTAAACCCTAACCGCTAAAAATCCTAAAAACCCTGTAAGCCCAAACCCTAAACCCTAAAGCCCCACGGTACCCTTGTGTATAATAAAGGTTTGGGACATATATGATATTATGCTTCTGAAAAGGACCTGCGGCATTTGACAATTATCCAGGCTTCTATAAGAACCAAGCTCTAGAACGGCTCTGTACAGAAGAGGGTGTAGGCCTTTTCAGGGGCTCAGGTGTTTGGCTTTGTGGCTTTTGATCTAGGACATTTTCAGGTGGGTAGTTTCCGCTATAGAAGCATTGTAGAAGGTCTATATACCTTATAGACGCCTTATAGAAGCCCTAAAAAACCCTAAACTCCCCACCTGTAGTTTCCTTTAATTTGAAGTCTGGGATTTGAAGCTCCCAGGTTCGGCTGTTTGGCCTAAACCCTGACATAAATCCTGCGTTACCCATAATAAGGAATATACCATAATTCCCATAGTGTATGGTCCTTTTAAGGTAATGCACGACTTATATCATCAACAGTAGCCCCGACTTGCACAGTACCTTACCCACAACCGAACCAAAAAGCTTCCAGAGAACAGGGGTTGTAGGGAATAGAGGTTTAGGGTTTAGGGCTTGAGGTTCAGGGTTTAGGGATTAGGGGTGTAGGGTTTAGGGCCTAGGGTTTAGGGTTTGAGGAAGTAGCCATGATCTTGTAATCTTACCTCCAGTGCAGCTCTGCAGAAGACACAAACATATTCGTGCTGCTGCTTGAGAGCGCTTCCAGCTGGAAATACCGTGAGCAACATCCTTCCTCACCAAAAACACCAAATCTTGATGGAGATTGCTCGGTAATCGGTAACCTAACACACTGCTCGAAACTACAAAGTTTAAACCCTAAACCCTAAACCCTACATGACCCTCGCTCACCTGACATCTTCGCGACAGCATCCCACGCATCCCCAGCCAGAGCAATCGATGACGCGTCGATGTCCGCCAGGACTTGCCAGTGTCCCAAAAAAGACTTGCCTTTATCCGGCTGGCATAATAAAGGGGCCTTAAAACTCTAAGTAGAGTTTGGGGGGTATACTCTTGCGCAAGAGGTAAACTTATTGTAAGGAGCCCTCAGGAATAGGGGAGCCTGTATTAGGGGCATCGAGTTTAGTGCTCACCTTGCTTGGGGTAAACTGGCATAGCTATTTTTCTAGGCTCTTGCTATTAACCTGATACGAAGACAGCGGGACCCTGCCAAAACAACCAAAACTCAAAGTCTAAATCCAGTAGGGTGACATAATGTCTAGAGTTCAGGACACGTTCTGCGTAATACGGGTATTCCCCTCGAACCGCTTCGGAAGGGTTGGGGTTCATGTAGTAGCCGTAATCATTAGATGGGGATATTACCGTAGAATATGTACGTGTAAAAAATCAGGAACCCCCAGGAGAGGGGGGTTTATGGTTTAGGGTTGAGTATTCGTCATTATTCTGACCTCCATATTCTGTGGCATTGGGGATTCAAGGTTCTGGAGCATCCAAGAGACGGTGTTCCTCCAACAGGCACTGATAGATCGCAGTTGTCAACTCCGCTGAACCAGTTCGGATGGCCCATGACATCCAAGTAGTCCTCTCTTCTTCAATATCCGGGCCCAAAAAAAGTTTAAACTTTACTTGATAGACCAAACATCCAGGGCCAACAAGCTTAAAGTTCTCCCATCAGCTGTCTAAGAGTCTTTACCGTCCGCATCGCAGTCGATACTCCTTCAACTTCAACCATATCCTCGCCTTAGCCGGGCTTATATCTCATCCACAACTTGACGTTTGTTCCTTCCTGAGAGCAGCCTGCAGAGTAACAAACACATTTTCTATTACGGCCTAGTCGCGACCGCGCTTTATCATGCCAGGGACAACTCGCTGCCAAGAAAATGCTGCCCTACCCCATGGCTGCTGTTGGCACAATGCCGCTGCTGCCGCTAGGCCGTCTGATTGCAGATCCTCCAACGATGCGAGGCTCTCCTTAGCTGCCCAGTACCCAGGCCCAAAAAAGTTTAAACTTTTCTTTTAATAGGGCTTTGATATACCAAAAAAGTTTAAAGTTTACCTATTGGGCTCCTAAGTCTCAAAGAAGTCCGGGATCTTCATGCTTACCACGCTCTCGCGGGAAGAGGCGGGCAGCGCAATTCTTCTGCGCAGCGTATCCTGATTACCGTCTTACCTTGAAGCGCCAAACTCTCGGTCCCACAACCCCAAGGACAGAATCCTTTAAGAAAAGACTCCCGAACCCCAAAGCCCTAAAACCCAATAGTCCCTCAATAACGAATCGTAGACCCTGAAGCCCTAAGTCCTGGTTCAGCTCTTGGACACTCAGTTGCCAGGCTGAGAAATTTAGCCACTGGCAATCATCCGGGTAGGGCGGCCAGGGCAGTTTTTGTGCTTTTACTTGGCAGGCCAGCAGTCGTGCAACCTGGGCTGTTTAGGGTTTAGGTTTTGGGTCTGAATGATCGCGAAAAGTAATTTATGTATGGGCTTCTGGTAATGTGCCACGTCGGCGACCCGCTTGAATGCGAAGGCCCGGAGGCGAATGCATACATGCATGCATACATACATACATACATACATACATACATAAGTGTATATATATAATGGAGTATGTATGTAGAGACAGAGTGTGTGTGTGTGTGTGTTTAGGGTTTAGGCCTGACTGGTGAACTAGTGCATTCTGCCTTCTGCTACTCGTTGTCAAAGCTGCGCTTGGGAGTGGGATGCTGTAGCTAAGCAGGGGCGGAGAGGTATCGGGTGTGAGGCTTCGTCTGAAGGGCTTCTGAAGGTTCTGCAAGAATTTTTTAGTAGGAGACATAAGGAGCGCTTGGCAGGATTTTTGGAAGGCTGATGATACTATACAATGATTGCTACGAGTCTTGATACTCATGCTAGCAATAGTACCGCTGTTCATATGGACTATTTCGCACTGATCGGGGGTCATATGATTCAGGGCGTTTCTGTGAGGGGGGAGCCCCCCTTCCCTAATAATGGAGGTGCAGCATTTCTCAAACCAGGGGGTCTACAAGACCCACCTCCATGAGATTCATAAGGGACCCAGAGGGTCCATATACACTTCCAATAATGGAAGTAGGTCTCGAAAGACCATCCTTGTTCAGGTTTTGGGGACCATGACTCGACAGTAGCATGTATGAACCCTCTAGGGGATACTACAACGATTCAAGTTGCCACCAAGAAGCTTTGAGTGTCGAGAGGTGGGTGTGTTCCTCCAGCGCTGTTCCCCATGCGTCACAAAGCATCGAATAGTCGCACTGCCCAGAGGCCAGTGCACGATCCACCATGGTGCAGAAGGTGTCTGCTGACCTCCCCAAAAAGTTCAGGCGCGACCTCTGCCTGGGTTCGTGTGAAGGCACTTAGTTTTCGGTGCGACAAGCAAGAAAGCATCTTGGCAAATTGAACAAACAGGCTAAAGCTTGTAAAACAGTCTAACCAACCCGATAAACCCCACATCTCTACTAGTTTAACAATTTGACATCACATAGGCTCTGTTGATGATATAAGCCCTGCAGCACCTTAAGGACCCTAAACTATGGGATTTATGGTGAATTCCTTACTATGGGGTAATGCAGGATTTCTATCATCAGCCGTAATCCTAGGTAGTCTTAGGGAGACCCCTTAAACGGGGAGCCTTTCTGAGCCCTTACTTCCGGCTCTCTCTAATTCAAAGAGGGGACCTTAGGTTGCCAAACTCCTGAAGCAACCCTTCTCATGTAGGGGCCTCAATAATTCGAACAGGCAGGGGCTTTAATTAATTAGAACAGGGTTTTGGGGTAGATTCTACTATAAATAGAATATAAGAACCCCCAGAAAAAATCGTATAGGTAATTTATTAAGGCCCCTATATTCCACACCCCAGAGGATCCTTGTTGAATTCCACAACCCCCTTGTAGAAGTCGAACCCCTGCCAGCTGCATACGCTGCAGACCCTACTTGGAGGTTCATGGGTAGTTAATAGTGGGGTTGCATGTCCCCTCTTATATGCACGGTTATAAGTATAGTTAGGGGACGTCTAACCCCACTCATAACTACCCATAAATAACCTCCAAGTAAGCCCTAAAACCCCTCATTGCCTAAACCTAAACCCTAAACCCTAAACCCTAAACAAAGTAGAACCCAGTTGCACGCGTTGTAGCAGCGCGCAGCCGTGCTCCTGCGCCGCCCAGGCGCCCGGGCTATCGGTTCCCTCGAAAAGTACCTGGCACACCCTGGCTGTTGGGATGTAAGGATTTAGGGACTTAGGGATTTAGGGTTTAGGGGTTAGGGATTTAGGTATTTAGGGGTTTGGGTTTAGGGTTTACGGGTTTAGGGTTTATTCAGGGTTTAGGGTTTAGGGTTTATTTGGGGTTTAGGGTTTTGGGCTTATTTTGGGTTTTGGATTTATTTTGGGTTTTGGGTTTTGGCGGTTTAGGGTTTGGGGGTTTAGGATGTAGGGTCCAGCCCGGGACTGTGCGCTGACGGGACGGGGAAGACAATCTGGTTCCGGGGGTGGGGTCTGCCATGCTGCTATGCTGAACTGGCAATGTGGAGGACGAGTTATAGACCCTGATAACATCCCCAAAATCGAGCGTACCACTAAATCTATATGGGTAGTTCTCTAAATTAGGGCCCCTCTTTAGGTCCCCAATATAGTACGGCACCCTTATAAAAAAAAAGGACCCTAAAAGGGACACTAATTTAGAAAACTGCCCATACTGCGGTCCCTATACTTGTCCAGCTCCATTGCATCTGGAACTGCTCGTCAACCTTTTTTGGGCTTCTAAACGGATGATGATCCACCGATATAAAGGTGCCTCAGTCTCCTATTAAGGGTCTTATTATGGTTGGTGGAAAAACTTCCCTATTGCCATTCCTTGTGGGGCCTATACAGAAGAGCTAAAGAACACGTAACAATATCCGTGAAATAAACCTTATCCCTAAACCCTAAACCCTAAACCCTAAAGCCTAAACCTTAACCCCAAACCCCCAAACCCAAAACCCCTAATCCCCTAAACCCAAAACCCTAAACCCAAAACCCTAAACCCCCAGAAACAACCCCTTACCTATCCTCTGAAAAGCCAGAAGGCCCAGGAGGCCTCCTGGCGGTGGGACGTGTCAAAAAAGGTACAACCCACAACAGACCTTACTTGGAGGTTCATGGGTAGTTATAGGTAGAGTTACGGGGTTCCTGTCAGGGTTCCTTTAAAGGGTTTTATAGGCTTTTCAGTGTAAGGAGGTAGTTGTAAGTGGTGTTATAAGTCCCCCAAGTAGGGTTATAAGAATAGTTACCCGACTTATGACCCTACTTATAACTACCCATGAACCTCCAAGTAAACTTGCGCAAGTACCAGGACCCGCCAAGTGCCCTTTTACAGAACCCGTAAGGTCTTCATGAGTGGGTATTTGGGGTATAATAAGGGGTAGTTGGGGGGGTCTAGGTAACAGGTGTTTGGAAAGTTATCCTGAACATCCCCTGACTTAGCCCGAAACCCCTAAACTAACCCAGATAACTCGAAACCCTGAACCCTAAACCCCGAACCCCTAGACTTAACCCCTAGACTTACAACCTCTGATTGCAAAAGCGGGCCTCCAACCGGTGGTGGTGCTGACGCCTCGGCCACAGGTCCTTGACTGACTGACTTCCAGGATAAACAAGGTTTAGGGTGTAGGGTTTAGGGGGAGCCACGAAGCACAAAAGCAAAACAACGATACCCTAAACCCTATTAAGCCCTACCTAGACCCCTCATTATACCCCCAAGCACCCACGAGTCAGGGACCATGAGGGTTCTGTTAAAGGGTACTTGGAGGGTCCTGGTAAGCCCATAAAACCTAACCCCAAAGCCCTTTTACCATTAACCCTGATCCCGAATTCCGGAACCCTAAAACCGTAAACCCTAAACCCCTACCCAGAGACTCCAATATCCCTTAACTAGGGAATATACCTTAAATCTTATTATTAGGGTTCCTATTATAATTTAAGGTACATTCCCTAATTAAGGGATAATGGAGTCTCTGGGTGCTATGGGGAACGGGGTGGGGTTCCTGTGAACACGGCTCTGTAGGACGTTTGCGGCTCCGCTTTGAAAGGCAAGTATACTAGAAGGTGTGCGAAAGCCGTCTTAGGAATCCTTTGAAGGTACTAGAATGCGTACGGTAGGGGTTTTCGGGTTCTGAGATTCTGGGCGTTGAACCTTCTGGATGTGATGTTTCCGTTCCTTGCAGTTGCAGGATCGGCCTCTAAAAAACCTCGAAAGGCGAATCAAAATTGGCTACTGGACCCAAGTCCAGACAGCGACTGTAATATCCTGTATTCATAAGACAAAAGCCCTAAACCCCTAAACCCTAAACCCCTAAACCCTGTTCCTAATTCAGCTCCGAACCCCAAAACCCAAAACACTACATCAACAAACTCTCAAGCCCCCGACTGGAGGACTGAAATGAAGGTACACTGTTATTGTAGGCACAAACAGGGCCTGCTTAAAATACCGACGTTTCGCAACAAGACATGATGGCTTCATCGTGTAGAGTGATGCAGTTGCACGGCTTCCGTCCGGGTGCATATAGAATTCAGTCCACAAGCTCGCAGTCGGGCATGAGTAAGGCACGGTTAGGACGTGTATGGGGTTTGCGCCTTCGCCATGTTGATAACGTTCTGGTGTTGAAAGACGGAAGCCCGAAGCCCTTTAACCCGACACAGGAACCCCAATTCCAGGGTCTTGAGTCTTTTCCTTCTTGCCAGCAGGCAGCTGCAGTGTGTCGAAGGCGGGAAGACTGTTGGACACAGCCTCAATGCATGGACTGTCCCGAACAACATCCTGAACTCAAAAGCCTGATGGCCCTTGAAGAAGCCTCAAGCTGCACATTGGGTCCGGAACAACCCCATAAACCCTGAACCGGGAATCCTAAACCGTGCAGAACTCTGATTGTGCCTTTAGGACCTACTGCAGACTTTACCAGATCGCGGCAAGGTATAAGGAAGCTCCCCTAAACCCTAAACCGTAGCTCTAGTCGCATGTGGCTTCGAGCTGTCCAACTCCAAGGTCGAGGTGGTGGGCTGAAGCTCGAAATTCACACACCTCCGACAAGCCTACAGTAGGGTTTAGGGGTTTAGGGTTTCGGGTTTTAGGATTTAGGGTGTAGGGTTTTAGGATTTAGGGCTTAGGGTTTAGGGTACAGTCCCTATTACTCATCCCAAGATTTTAAGATCTTGAAGCTCCAAGTCTCAGCGCAGACACAACGAAACCCTACACCCGAAAGCGAATGAAGCCGGAAACACCCAGGCCATCTGGGCAGCCTCAAGACGTCGGCTGAAGTTACGCGCAAGAGACCTCGGGAGCTCTGGGATGTTAGTATAGGGTTTTTCCCCTCCCAATAGGGTTTAGGGTTTCGGGTTCAGGGTTTATGGGGCCTTCATAAATCGAATAGTAACGTTCAGGGGTATAATGTAATTAGCATAATTTGCGATGTGGAGACTGCTATTGGAACGTATTCCGAGTCCTTCCGACCCTTGTATGTTAGGACTCACTCATCTTGTTTTGGACCAGACTATAGGGCCTATAGGGTTTTCATGGTACTGAGGTTTTGGGAACTCAGCGTCCTGGGCGAAGAACGCGTATCGTTTCCAACGACTGCCGTAGGAAAATAAAACCTTTACCCACCGGGAGTGAAGCTAGAGGTTACACCCTGAAACCTTACAAAAAAGGTAGGCTATGACCCCTTAAGTATATAGGGTATGTCCACGCATAAGTAGAGGGTATGGTTTTTGGCTCCCTAGGTCCCAGGTAGAGGTTACACCCTGAACCTTAAACTCGGAAAGCCTTAATCGACTCCCCAATCCTAGTTGCGGCTTCTAGGGTTAAGGGCTTGGGGAGGGTTTAGGGTACAGGGTTTAGGGTTTGGGGCTCGACTGAAGAGTTTGTGATTTTCCCGACACTGCATTGCATCTGAAGGCCTTCAAAGCCGACAGCACCCTAGTGAACACTACTAAAACAAGACCCCAAGGTTAAAAACCCGGCCCCCCAAAGCCCGAAGAAACCGTAAGCCTCTAACCCTGGAAAAGCGAGAATAGCAGATTCTAAAACCCCTAAACCGAATACAGCCTAAACCGCACAGCACTTTGGTCTTTAATGAATGCACTCTCACACAAGGAACCCTTAAAAAGAACCCTTAAATGTTAAGGAGTTCAAAGGAACATTCAGAGGAATCCTTATAGAAGCCTCCAAGGATTGGCTTCCGGCTTCAGGCTCCTCTTTCCTCCTGCAAGACTTCAGGGTCCCGCGCCTTGAGGTATTTGGTGGAAGGATCC